GGGGGGGGGGGGGGGGGGGGGGGGGGGGGGGGGGCTTCCCTGGTGGCGCAGTGGTTGGGAGTCTGCCTGCCAATGCAGGGGACGCGGGTTCGTGCCCCGGTCCGGGAGGATCCCACATGCCGCGGAGCGGCTGCGCCCGTTGGCCGTGGCCGCTGAGCCTGCGCGTCCGGAGCCTGTGCTCCGCGGCGGGAGGGGCCACAGCAGTGAGAGGCCCGCGTACCGCAAAAAAAAAAAACAAAGAAAAACAAAAAAACCAGTCGTGAGGGGAAGCAAACACATGTATGTCTCTAATATAAGGCCGACTATGACGGGCACCAGGAATGAGAACGGGGAGGGGGCACAGAGAGGGCAACGGGAGAACTAGGGGAGACTTCCTGCGGCGGGTGAGGTGCTGGACACCAAGCAGAAACCCAGGAAGACCAAATACTTGGTGAGCCTGGGGTGTGGGGTGGCAGCCAGGCCACAGAGCAGCCGTGGCACAGAGACGGGGCCAGGGCCCAAACAGGTCTGCAGGGGCAGCTGCCCTGGGGGGCTGAGTGGAGGAGCTCCATGCGTGGGGAGGGCTTGCCCAGGCCCAGAAGGCGATGGGAACAGCTGCAGCTCATGCCCAGAAAGGGAGAAAGAACACAAGCGGATCCCAGGCCTCTCTACCCTCCTGGGAGATGCACGGTGGGGAGGGAAGGGCAGGGGGCTCAGAATCAGATGCTCTGGCCACATCTCAGCTCCGCCACTTGCTGACTGTGAAGCTTTGAGTCAGTAATTTAATATCAGTAAGCCTTATATTCCTCATCTGTTAAATTGGTGCAATATGCCCTCCTCTCAGAGTTTTTCATTAGGTTTAAATAACATGAGAGATGTAAAAAGCGCCTGGAACACAGGAGGCCCGTAATGTTTTTTCCATCCTGTTTTACTTTACCCTGTGGCCAGTGACTTGGAAATAAACATGAAATGACCACAATTATCCCTGGAATCAGCCAGGTCATACTGAATGGTCCCTATCTGCAAAAGGTTCTTACCCATCCTTGAAGATACTCTAAAACAGCACTTCTTTAAAAAGGATTCTGTGATGAAATAAATTTGACACATCTTAGAATAAAAATAGACATAGTTCTCTCCTGCAGGACTTCTCAGAGCCTTTAATATGTACACAAGAACACTGCAAATCTCTGAGAAAGGGATCTAGTATGGGGCTAGGGTTTCCCGAACATTTGTCCAAGAAACCTTCTGACTTCTGACCACAAATTTTTTTTTTTTTTTAAATAGCCATTAACATGTTCTGAGAGATGCTGATCTAAGCTCATTCCATTCCTTTACAGATGGAAAATTGAGGCCCAGAGGGATGAATTAACATACTCAGGGTCACAGAGAAACAGAGCTGGGATGAGAACCCAGCCCTCCACCATTTCCAGGAGCCCGGAAAACGGTAGGAGGTGTTTCCTGATATTCTTGAGCAAGATGGGGTGGGGGCGGGGGCAGGTACTGGGGGGTTAAGGGTGCCGTGCTTGGTTTCTCCAGTGGAAGCAGGTCACACAACAGCCCGCTGCCATTCACACCTGTCATTATTAGGGAGTTCCTGATTACGCCGGTCCCTACATATTCTGTTGCACCAGTGACTGCCTGAGTTTACCAGCAATTTCTGTATAATCTGAGCTGTGTACCTAGCTCTTCACATGCCTAGCTGCCAGCAAGGCTCCATGAAAATAAGGAGTATGTCAGTGAGGCGTGGTGCTGTCAGCCTCCAGTGATGCGTGTGTGGTGGGCAGCGAAACGGGCAGGGGACAGCTTGACACCAAGGCCACTTACAGGCATGAAGAGACTAAAAGGCAGCCTCTTCCCTCTGCATGGAAGGCTTTCCTTCTCCTAGCAATATGGGTGGAGATATCCCACTTCTCCAAGCAAGCTGCCACTTCTCCGTGTTTAGGCAAGACTGAGCCGACTGATGATACTTTTAGCTAAGAACAGACATTTGGCAGCTGGAGTCAGGCCCTCATGTTGCTCTGCTGTTCATGCACTGGGAATGTGGTCTTTAGGCTCCAGGGACTGTCAGAAAGGGAGGGGCCTTCCAATCGCACTGCCAGGTAGCCAACCAGCCACATAACCAACCAACCAACCAGCAATCGGCCCATTCATCCAACTGTATATCCAAGAGGAATATGCAAAGAATTGTATAAGTAGTGATATAGTGGTATATGCTTAACCGCTGGCAATCTGGGGGAAAAAGCCCTGGTTTGTGCTGTTTGCCACTTTCTGCAGTGTAAATATTCTCACTGTGGTCGAATTCAAACTACCAATGTGATGTCATCAATGCAGAGTCAAGAAAGATGCCCAGTAGCCTGATTTTATTTTTTTATTATTTTTTTTTGCGGTACGCGGGCCTCTCACTGTTGTGGCCTCTCCCGTTGCGGAGCACAGGCTCCAGATGCGCAGGCTCAGCGGCCATGGCTCACGGGCCCAGCTGCTCGGCGGCATGTGGGATCTTCCCGGACTGGGGCACGAACCCGCGTCCCCTGCATCGGCAGGCGGACTCTCAACCACTGCGCCACCAGGGAAGCCCCCAGTAGCCTGATTTTAGATGGTATTTCCACCATACAGATACAGATAACTTCAAGAGCATAGATAATTATAAAATGGTGTAAAATCATTAGGAAGTGATGTTTTGAGTATCCGTTATTTTTGCTATTAAGATAATTTAATTGAAAGTTTGTATAGTGATGGTTGTATTTAACAACCTAAAAGGTAGTTCTGATCACTAATTCCAATGTATGGGTGTATGTGCATGAGGGTGGGGGACAGTTGTCCTGACACCAACCAGAAATTCTTAAGACACAACCTGACCATTCTACAGTTTAACTCAATTCTGACACTATCTACCCAGAGACAGCATCAGATCCCCCAGGTTAAGGGCTCAGCACTACAAAACTGCCCCCTCCCCAACTTCAGATACCAGTCACAAGTCTAGACTGTCACCTGTGCTTGAGACTGACCAGCCATAGATCAGAGGTTCCCATGACCCCATTCTTGGGTTCAGTTAATTTGCTAGAGCAGTTCAGGGAATTCAGAGAAATATTTTACTTACTAGATTACCAGGTTATATAAAAAGATATAACTTAGGACCAACAGATGGACAAGATGCATAGGGTGAGGTATGTGGGAGGGACTCCCATGTCCTCTCCAGGTGTGCCATTCTACCTGAATCTCTATGTGTTCAACCAGGAAACTCTCCAAATTCCATCCTTTTGGGGTTTTGTGGAGGCTTCATGCATAGGCATGGTTCATTAAATCATTGGCCATTGGTGACTGATCCAACCTTCAGCCCCTCTCCCATCCCCAGGGGTCAAAGGGTGGGACAGGTGGCATTGAAAGTTCCAACCCCAGTCACAGGGTTGTTTCCTCTGGCAACCAGCCTCCATCCTTAGGTGACCTAGGGACATCCCAAAAGTCACTCATTAACATAACAAAAGATACCTTCATCCCTCTGCCACTTAAGGGATTTAGAAGCTCTGTGCTAGTCTTGTTATAAATCACAATATCACACAACCACATTGCAAAATTCCTGACAAATTATCAGCTATTGTAAGCTGATATGAGCCAGCCCCAGCACAAAGTAGATTTAGGGCACAGGGGAGAAAGTTGTTCGCTACTGGGGACAGGCATTGAAAAGGAATCGCTAGTGATATGACAGCCAAAAGTTTTAAATCTATACTGGAAGGAGAAGACCAGTCTGATTTAGCTGAGTCTGAGTTCATGTTGATTGCACTGATATAGTCCTTCTGGCATTCTTTGGATTGGGCATTATGTCCTCCAGTTCTGGGAACTTTTCTTATGTTATTTCTTCTGTTTTCTTACATGTCTTATATTATTCCTCTGGTAATGTCCTCCCAATTACTTTCTCTGATTTCTCTTTCTAGAGTTCCTATTGGACCTTCTGAAATTATATTCTAATTTATTTTTTTTATTGATGTATAGTTGATTTACAATGTTGTCTTAGTTTCTGCTGTACAGTAAAGTAATTCAGTTATACATATGTACACACTTTTTTATATTTTTTCCATTATGGTTTATCACAGGATATTGAATATAGTTCCCTGTGCTATACAGCAGGACCTTGTTGTTTATCCATTCTATATATAATAGTTTGCATCTGCTAACCCCAAACTCCCAATCCATCCCACTCCCATCCCTCCTCCCCCTTGGCAACCACAAGTCTGTTGGCTATGTCTGTGAGTCTGTTTCTGTTTTATAAATAAGTTCATTTATGTCATATTCTACATTCCACATATAAGTGATATCATACGGTATTTCTCTTTCTCTGTCTGACTTACTTCATTTAGTATGATAATATCTAGGTCTATCCATGTTGTTGCAAATGGTGTTATTTCATTCTTTTTTATGGCTGAGTAATATTCCATTGTATATATGTACCACATCTTTATCCATTCATCTGTTGATGGACATCCAGGTTGTTTCCATGTCTTGGCTATTGTGAATAGTGCTGCTATGAACATAGGGATACACGTATCTTTTTGAGTTATAGTTTTGTCTGGACATATGCTCAGAGGTAGGACTGCTGGATCATATGACAACTCTATTTTTAGTTTTTTGAGGAACCTCCATATTGCTTTCCATAGTGGCTGCACCAATTTACATTCCCAAAAAAAGTGTAGGAGGGTTCCCCTTTTTTGTACCCTCTCCATCATTTGTTATTTGTAGATTTTTAAATGATGGCCATTCTGACTGGTGTGAGGTGGTACCTCACTGTGGTTTTGATTTGCATTTCTCTAATAATTAATGATGTTGAGCATCCTTTCATGTGCCCCTGGACCATCTGTATATCCTCCTTGGAGAGATGTCTGTTTAGGTCTTCTGCCCATTTTTGGATTCAGTTGTTTGTTTTTATGATGTTGAGCTCCATGAGCTGTTTGTATATTTTGCAGATTAATCCTTTGTTGCTTCTTTGCGAATATTTTCTCTCATTCTTTTTTTTTAACAACTTTATTGGAGTATAATTGCTTTACAATGGTGTGTTAGTTTCTGCTTTACAACAAAATGAATCAGTTATATATATACATATATTCCCAAATCTCTTCCCTCTTGCGTCTCCCTCCTTCCCACCCTCCCTATCCCACCCCTCCAGGCGATCACAGAGCACCGAGCTGATCTCCCTGTGCTATGTGGCTGCTTCGCACTAGTTATCTACCTTACGTTTCGTAGTGTATATATGTCCATGCCTCTCTCTCGCTTTGGCACAGCTTACCCTTCCCCCTCCCCATATCCTCAAGTCCATTCTCTAGTAGGTCTGCGTCTTTATTCCTGTCTTACCCCTAGGTTCTTCATGACATTTTTTTTTCTTAAATTCCATATATATGTGTTAACATACAGTATTTGTCTCTCTCTTTCTGACTGACTTCACTCTGTATGAAAGACTCTAGGTCTATCCACCTCATTACAAATAGCTCAATTTCATTTCTTTTTATGGCTGAGTAATATTCCATTGTATACATGTGCCACATCTTCTTTATCCATTCATCTTATGATAGACACGTAGGTTATTTCCATCTCCAGGCTATTGTAAATAGAGGGGCAATGAACATTTTGGTACATGACTCTTTTTGAATTACGGTTTTCTCAGGGTATATGCCCAGTAGTGGGATTGCTGGGTCATATGGTAGTTCTATTTGTAGTTTTTTAAGGAACCTCCATACTGTTCTCCACAGTGGCTGTATCAATTTACATTGCCACCAACAGTGCAAGAGGGTTCCCTTTTCTCCACACCCTCTCCAGCATTTATTGTTTCTAGATTTTTTGATGATGGCCATTCTGACTGGTGTGAGATGATATCTCATTGTAGTTTTGATTTGCATTTCTCTAATTATTAGTGTTGTTGAGCATTCTTTCATGTGTTTGTTGGCAGTCTGTATATCTTCTTTGGAGAAATGTCTATTGAGGTCTTCTGCCCATTTTTGGATTGGGTTGTTTGTTTTTTTGTTATTGAGCTGCATGAGCTGCTTATAAATTTTGGAGATTAATCCTTTGTCAGTTGCTTCATTTGCAAATATTTTCTCCCATTCTGAGGGTTGTCTTTTGATCTTGTTTATGGTTTCCTTTGCTGTGCAAAAGCTTTTAAGTTTCATTAGGTCCCATTTGTTTATTTTTGTTTTTATATCCATTTCTCTAGGAGGTGGGTCAAAAAGGATCTTGCTGTGATTTATGTCATAGAGTGTCCTGCCTGTGTTTTCCTCTAAGAGTTTGATAGTTTCTGGCCGTACATTTAGGTCTTTAACCCATTTTGAGCTTATTTTGGTGTATGGTGTTAGGGAGTGATCTAATTTCATACTTTTACATGTACCGGTCCAGTTTTCCCAGCAGCACTTATTGAAGAGGCTATCCTTTCTCCACTGTACATTCCTGCCTCCTTTATCAAAG